CCCCAAAACACCAAAACCCCAAAACCCCAAAACCCCGTTAGATGAATAATAATGAAGTAAGATGAAAGTAAGAAATAATAAAAAAATTTCATTTCAAATGAAAGGTTCTTCTTTATCAGCAAATTTTTCTATCTAGACGTTTGTTCTTTTTTTCTTGACGACAGGTGCTCTTTATCTAATATTTTTTTGTAACTATTGAATCTAAGACTCAACTTGATTACTCGGATCGTTATTGGGACTCCTCTGTCTTCTTTTCTTTTCCCGATTTATTCTCTCAATATCATCGTATTTTTTCATCAATATTTCATATTTTTCTTGCTATATTAGGCCTTATTCCAATTCTTCTTCTACTAGTTCTTTGGGATCTAAGATTGAATTCTTGCCAGTCTTGGCAATAACATCATTGAAAATTTTAGGAATATAGTCCTAAGCTGCTTGATGAACAAGAAATATTGAGTCCTTATCAAATTTTTAAACATTCTAAAGTTGATCTTTATGTTTCGAAATGAAAGACTCGGTGTAGTCTGCTATTACTTTTCTGGGAAATTCAAATTTATACTCTTCTTCCTAAAAAGGAAGCTCATAATTATTATCTTCTAGTAATCTCTCAAGATTTTTCTCGTAGTTAAATTATGAATACTCACTTTACTGGCTATATTTCTACTATTGAAATTAGTGAGAACTTTCTCTTTCATTGTTTTGAAAAGCATTTTAATCACTCTCTTCTTAATAACTCATCCTATTTTAAGATAGAAAGTCCTTTTATGGATTCATCATTTATTAATTTTATATTTACTGTCTCCCCTATAAATCTTATTCATTTTCTTCTAATACTAACTATTCATCTTCATATACAATAGACTCGTCAACTATTTCATGATCTTAGGAGTAAATTTGTTAACTTTATAAAAAGTTAGGATTTACCTGCAAACTTTCGGTTTGATATTCTTGAGAAAAAAATCTAATTAAGTTTTGATTTTATAAGACTGGCTAATTTTCCTCAATCAATTCATGACCATCTTATTTTATTTCTTAGATGTCATTATACATTTCCTGATCTACATTGGAATTTTATCCTCTAATATGCTAATTAATTCCAATTTGCTAGTTCGTTTTATCCCCTAATACATTTGAGAATCGAGACTTTGCATTTGAAAAGACCTTTTGCTCTGAATAAATCCTTGATTTATTATTTGTAGGTTTCTAAAAAGACTAAGATTGATATTGTTGTTCATTTGAAGAGTTATTCTGGTCGTCTACAATGTTCAGATCGAGAAAAGCATTATGGATACTGTTTTCATTCTGTTAGTAAAAGTTGTTATTTTAAATATGAAAGCTTCCCTAAGATTGCTTAAACTGGCTTTGCCCTCCGTTTCTATTACTTGAATCTTGCAATATTTATCTTTAGAAGTATTCTTGGCTATCAGGAATAATCAAATTACTGTAACGATTAATCCCCTAATTTTGTTGCTTTATTTTCACATCAGTATAGATCTATTGACGATTTTTATTGGTTTCAAAGCCAAATATATTAGAATCTTGCAGTAACTCGCCATAGTCAAGTATACTTTAGTGATCACTTTAAGCAATTTTATCTTTGCTAGATTAGCTTTTATTATTTTGCTTGAAGAATTAGCTGTATGTAGGTAGAGCTAAATGTATAAAGAGTAAGATGTTTTACCTATGTTTGAAAAGGAATTTGATGAGTTTTATGAGTTCTGTAAATCCTACTATTCCTTTAATGAACTCTAAGAACTGCGGATTCTCTCATCATTTTATTATTTTTACTTAGATTATGGAAGAAACATTTAATTTTATTTTTATATTTAAAATTAGGTTTAACGAATATAACTTTATCAACTTTTCCTTTACATTAATAATTTTACATTTCAATAATGTATTGATACTTAAAGATTTTTTTACTTGAGGGGTTTTGGGGTTTTGGGGTTTTGGGG